TTTTTTTGGGGGGGGGGGGGGGGGCAGTATCACTCTTGATACTGTGGTACTGCCCAGGAAAGCCAAAAAGCAGCCAATTCTGGCTTCTCTTTTTATTTTTAAGCTAAACCAAACATGATATTAAATGAATTGGATGTAATGGATCTATTAAGAAAGAAACTGGTGTTGTTCAACGGTGATGTTGTCTGGGACAGGTTTTGTTTATATTTAGGTATTACTGAAGAATGGTTACTGCTTTTTGAAAGGAAAACTTTGATCTTTTTCCAGAAGTTGCATAATTATGGTCCATGTATTAGAATTATGTATTTCCTAGCCATTTGTTAGTTTCTGTCATTCCTTGTCAGTAATGAAAGATAAATTTCCATACTAATGTTTGAAGGTGATGTGTGGTTTTCCCGCTTTCATGATAGGAACTAGCAGCAAAACTCCGGGCAATTGTATTGCTGAAGAGGCAACTTGATGAAGTGCCATCACAAGCTGAACTTATTCAGTACATTTCTCTGCTTCTGCTACCTTTTCTTACCCCTACAAGTCTCTTTGATGTCCTTTCATATTGTAAAATTTACTTATTTTAGGTCAAATGAGCGTCTCAAAAGTCATTTGTTTAAAGCAACTACGGTTCAGTTTTTGAAGTTCCGCTTTGTACTTATGAGTTTAATATCGAGCATTTTGTAGTAATAAGTGATAAAGTGAATTTGTGTGGGGCACATGGCTTATGAGCCATGGGCTTATTTGCCACTTATGAACTTATGTTCTCAAATTTTAAGACTTGGTCAAAGAGCAAAACTCTCTTTCTTGTTCCAAATAGTAATAATTCAATTTTTTCTCTCAACTGAAACTTCAGGTATGAGCTGCGGTTTTCAGAACTTTATACTCAGATTCAGGTATAAAAATGGTTTTATTGTGCTTCTGCAAGTTTTTTAATCATCATTTAGCTAAATGAACTGCACCTTCCAATGCGTGTCTGCAGAAAAAGCTTCGGCAAACTCATAAGCACTATGATACTTATAACGCGTTGATGGAGATAAAAGAATTGATGCTAAAGGAGACATCCTTGTTGAACTCCATAAGCACGCAGGTCTACATTTATATGCTTTTAATATTTTGCTTATGCGAACTTATTTATTCCACTGTGATGATGGATAGTGCTTATATTAATTATGTCTCTCTCACATTCAATCTCATGCAGTTCCAAGATGCTATTACTAGTGCTGATGGGCGTATCAAACTCATCGACTCATTGGAGGGAATACTAAAGGGAATTCAGCAGGTACCCATTTCTGACCTTTCAACAATATAGAATAGGGGATACAGTTAGTATACAACGTGCTTACTACTTAGGGCTCGTATGGGCTCTTGAACTGCTTTTGAGTCTAAAAAAGCTGATTTTAGGCCTGTTTGAATGAGTTTCAGAACGTGTAGAAGAGCTTTTAGAAGAAGTTGTCCAAAGGGGCTTCCCCAAAAAGCTCTTCTTCCAAAAGGCATAAGCAATCTCATAGAGGCCCTTAGTAAACTTATATGAACCCCAAGAGCATCTCCAAAGATGGTGTAAAGTTGGGTGCAAATTGGTATCTCTAAAATCACTTTTACATCCTTATTTACACCCAGATGAATCTAAATCCAAAGTTATCCAAAGATCGAAATTCACTTTTTGTCTATTGCCAATGTAAAAAAAAAAAATGTAAATTCACATCTTTTTTTACATTTTTGCCATTTGAGAGGTTTCCGATCACTTTAGAGATCTAAATCTCTATTTTATATCACTATTGAAGATGCTCTAATAATGTTTGCTGAAACTAGAACAGCTTCTCAAAGTTACTGATCTTCTAATGATGTTGTGATTTTCATCAAACTTTTTCCACGAGTGATTTTCCCTCTGCATAAATTTCCAGAGGCATGGAAAAGTGCAAACTACACTGCAATCAGAACAACGAATTTGTGATTCTCTAAAGGAAAAATATGCAGCTGCAATTTCAGAGCAAAGACACGGCTATACTCTCTTGAAACTTTTCCAGGTATCCCACGGATGAAGATACAATTTGCTAGGTTTAGCGTTGTTGCTAAGCTTGAAGAAACATAAAAAAGTTACTTTTTTATTTTATTTTCAAACAAGTTTGGATATTTTACTTTTAAAAATTGAAGTGCTTTTGTTAAAACGATGGGAGTTATTTCTAATTTTTTACTAATAAAAGAATTATTTATTTAAAACCTTCATTTATAAATAAACTTTTTAAGCTTAGCTGAGTGTGTTTGGCTAAAAGAGAGAAGAGAGTAAAACATTTTAAATTTTAACTTTGGATGTTCATAATTTTGAAAGTAACTCTCGAGTCTTATCTTGCTATCACTATAATAAGTAACTTTTGTACTTATTTTGCTTATTATGTCCTTCAAATGGCAGGAAGAATGTGCAAGGAATGAGAGACTTCGTGATCGAGTTTCATGATCACACTAATACGAAGAGATCTGTCCAAGTCTAGTTCAGATTGAACGGACATAGTTGTGTTTGAAACTAAAGAACATTTGCTGATTTAAAGGTTGAGCAAGAGTTTAATGATCATAATTGATTTACAAGAAAAATAGCCATACTAGAAACCATGAAATTTGATTATGTATACAAGTTTGCACTTCTCAGTTTACTTCCAGTTTGCCGTAGACATCTGTATCTGCAATATACTAGTGCCTTGCCAATCGATGATTTTTTATGTGGAAACAAGTCGATAGTGTTCATTTCTCGCCTACTCAATAAATCCAACAAAAATGGTGCAGGAACCCAAATTTCAAGAAATATGTTACAAAGTCGCTGTTTGATTTAGCTAAAAAAGTTCGATAAAAAATTAAAATATAAAAAATCAATTGTGGAATCCACAACTCTTGTCAACTTTTCAACTACACATTTAATCAACTTTTTTATCACAATTTGCTAAATATCCAATTTTTAGCAAAACAGAGCAGGGCAAACAATATCATAGACAATGCTAGGGATTAAGGGCCTAATCCCTTCTTACAAGAGCAATAATGTACATGACGAAATCACAAAACAAGCCCAATGTAACATCAGGCTGAACTGCAATCAAGACCATAAGCATACAATATGATTACACTCCACACAGTAAACGGACATTACAGATAGGATTAATCTATTTGTAAAACTATGGATGACGTGTGTTGGTGAATGTCACGTGACATGTAGTCAACCAAATTGTAACTCATGATTGTACACCAAGCAATATTATTACAGATAATATGTACGGCGTTACTAGCACAAGGTTTCATTCAAACGATAAATATCTCAAAATGCTCACAAGAATCTCAGATTCTTTATGCGTATTCCGAGATGTACTTCTGTTAATATAGAAAAATCAAACTCTCAAGACTGCAAATATCTGGATCTCATACTTAATTTGAGTGCTTACAGATTACAAAATGGAGCGAAAAGCTTTAAAAATAATGGAGCTAGGAAGATTGGACCTCACTGGAGGTAATGCAAAATACTAATTGCTGAAGTACAGATATTCATTTAGCAAGCACAAACTAAGCCAAATTAAACCTTACGCCTCGCCTTTACCTCCAGCATTGACCTCGGATGCTCCCCCACTTTTTGATTCTTTTGTTATGATACCCCCCGGACGACTGCCTACAATGTGCATCCAATTCTATATATAAGTGTCACCACATTCAATATTTAGGAAAGTGCAAGTATAGATTGGCATAAAGCTAAAGCCATATGATGTAACTCTCATAAAAGCGGTCATCTCGAATCTCAATTATGTTCACTTGATAATTACCTACTATTTGCACAAAAGTTGGAGCAAATTCCATTGCCATAGTGAAAAATATGTTATTAACAAATTTTATGATAGTGTAAACAATTGGGATAAGTAATTGTTAATCACCAGAGCCAAAACCATGGTGGGATTTCCCTCCATCTGATGTGCCCTCATGCAACTCCCTTGGTATAGCGATGCCTGCATCGCTAGGTATACAATTATCTCCAGTCGGAGGCCCTGATGCAGATTTTGGAGTGTAAGTTGTTGACCAAGATCCTCCGTTCGATCCAGCTAAGGCCATTATAACATCTGCCTGATAAAGAGTATAAAACTCATCATGGTTTGTGGAGGGATTACAATAATTGTCAAGGTTCAAAACTCAACGAACACAATACAAAAGGTATAAAAAAACCCTTTAAAATCCAATCTACAAAAGAGATGAAGATATTCCTTCAGTGCTAGCTTCACAAATAGGTGCTAAGAAAGAGTTGAGCTTCAGCGTCGTGCATGCTGTACATATATGAATAATTCTGGATATTTCACAGCAAGAAAATTACTCAACAACCAATCCAGCATCAGAATTATACTCCTATTCTAAAGCACTGAGGCAAAAAGGTAGTTCATGAAAAGTACATCGGTCCCTGATCATTAGATATGAATAATGATCCTCCAATTAATAGCATCTGTTATTAGAATGTACAATCCAGTCTTGTTTCTTAACTGATTAAGTGGTTCCTTCCCTAGCTTCCCTGAGACTATGCCCCAGTTTGACATCCATTAAATCAAAATTCATTTTTTCTTAAACTCATTTTCAACCATACATTTACACAATAAAATATTTTGCAAATAAATTCAAAACTTTTTTATACTTTTTAACCACACATTCTCCGAAAAATCACTATTCCAAAACTCATTTTTCCCAAAAAAAACCTCGTTATAATGGATATCAAACAGGGGCTATATTTCACTACTTAACATTTGCTCTTTGACAGCGAGGGGGTTCAGTTACATATAACTCTTAACATCAGAAAAACGAAAAAAAGAAACCATACTACATATCTGTCCAGCTAATGCCAATTAAAGTCAAAGGAACGGCATTGGATTCTTTATATGTAGAAATAGTGGCGATTCTAAAAACTTAGCCCTATTCGATAATTCAGAAAATTCTTACTCTCGTTCTTCAAACATCCTGTTGTTTCTCTATACATCACCCAAAATATAGCCGAAAACGCGGTTCTCCACTACTGCACATCACATACCATGAACAACAAAGAGAGAGATAGATGTACTTCTTTTGAACCAATTCTCACAAATCAATTTTTCTATGAAAGATCAGCCATAGAAAATCTTGATTCTGTTACAAGACATTTCAAAATGAACTTGGACATGCCAAAGATGGGGTGGATTGGCAAATCAACAAGAGTAGAGAAGAATGAAGTGCAAGAAAAAAGTCTGAGAAATCCAACATCCACAACCTTTTGGCATGCCAAGAAGGTTTAAAACCAACATTCTCAATGATAATTTAAGAAATCTTGCTATCCCTCAAGTTTTCCAAATCATTCTCCCATTTTCAGAGGGGTGAACAAACAAAATCTATAGGACATTTTTTAGAAAAGAAAGGGAGCAAAAACTAATCCAACCTTACTCCCAAACAAATCCTGTCTCCTGCACCCACATTCCATATTGTGAACATGATAAAAGAAGAAAATCCCGTAGTTATGAACTTCCAAATGTTTCTACGAGAATGTCTCGCAAAACTTTTGAATTTTTGACTAGTTGTTCCAAATCGTACTTGCTCCTCACAACCCTGGGTTCTTACAGCGCAAGGAAGATTTTTTCTGGAAATCTTCAAAGAATTTTTTTTTTTTAAATGACTGTTTAGATCTTAAGGTCAGTGACCATAATCAAAAATCTCTTGCCTTCCAGCTACCATTATGGCGAGCTTTCGTCACTAGACATGCTCCTCTGTAGCTTCGCTACACTTCCTGTCCAAGTTCCAACAGTAGAAAGCACAAACTCCTTGAATTATAAACCCTAAAAGGCTTCCTTGATAATGACGTCCAACCTCCACTTCGAAGTAATAATACAAACAACTTCCAGAATTAGCATAATGCTCATAAGCAAAGCTGCAATTAAGCTTGATAATAAAGATGCTATAACACTGGATCAGAGCAAGACTAAAGGGTAAATTTTTTCTTCACGTATTAATCAAGTCAAATAAACATGAAAATACTTCTGTTTAAGATAATGGTACAAAAAGCAGTTGATCAGGTATGTATCAGTCAACCGGTTGATCAAAAAAATGCAGAAAGCAGACCTTGTTAGGGTGGACTTTGTCAAAAACATGGGCTTGACCACCATAAAATATAGTCATTTGGCGACTGGCTGATTCTATTCTGTGTTGACTGTCATTAAAAAAAAAAGACAAATAAAACTCATAAATCTTTTAGCCAACCAAAAAATAGCTCAGGTAAGAAAATTAGAAAAATCACTATTATCATGAATTGACCTGGGTGTAGCAGCAGACGATTCTGGCTCAGGAATGTAAACAGCGGACTTCTGTTTATCAGTACGTATGAGCACTCCTGAAGGTTGTCTCTCAGAAACACCTCCAGTTGCATTGATAGAACTCAAAATTCCAGACCCTTTAATTCCAGTCCTAGATCCTTCATCAGCAGCTGTTCTAGATATGGCAGAAGGACCAGGATTCGTATCTTTAAACCTATTTGATGGTGTTTGGTGCCCAAAGGGTACAACTTGACCGGCACGTGGAGGATACGGTAATGTCGGCCCAAGACTCATTGGAATAGCTCGATCCCATTTGGAGTTACCGCCACTAGAAGATTGAGATATAAGAGAGGCCGAAATTGGTCTCATTTGATGCATAGCAAAGGATGTTTCCTCATCATGTGGCCACCTAGGTCGCTCTCCCCCGCTATGTCGCAGTAGCTGAACTTGAACAGAGAACTCCAATATCAGGATAAATAATAAACATTTTTAACATGTTTGGTACCATGAATTAGAGAGCACTAGATTGTATTAAGAAGCAAAAAGAAGCTAATATCTTGTAAATGTGCTGTTTAGTGAAGTCTAATATTTTCCAAACAAGCACTTCGGGAATGAGATTTAAACCAGCACAAGACCATAACATCCCTTTACCTATTTTAAAATAACATGCCGTGAAGGAAAATAATTGGGAAGATGTGAAAATAAACAGAACAAACCTTCATCAAATGTGAGCTCTCAAGTGATTCTGGTCGCACTTGTGGAAATATCTCTTTTGATGACACCATAAAAGAGTCAGAGTTACTTCGTTTAGTTCCTGCAAACCTATTACTTGTATCGGGTCCTGTAAAGTCGCCTCTTGATCGATAAAATGGTATCCCCTCCAAATGACTGCCAACATGTCTTTCTAGCATAATTGATTAAAAAACTATCAAACTATGAGTTAATCTTCAAATATCTTCCAGTAATCATTTAAATTCTTGACAGCACTATAGTTTCAACAATGGGAAACAAGACATAAAAGGCCGGTGCATTATAGCAATTTCAATCAAAGCAATTGGGAATGAACCCGTACATTTCTATCTCCATCAATGACTTCATACGAATCCAGAGGTCATAACCACCAATTCATCAAAAGAGTTGCAGAATTGATAGAGGTCAGAAAGTAGGAATGTACAAGCATAAAAACACACAAACAATTTGAAAGTGAGATTACGACAATACTGAAAATAATCAAAAAATACTTGTGAAATTCAAAGTATCCAGAACAATACACATACGAAGAATGATGTGAGCACATTTATACAACAAAGAAGTTCAAAAAAAAAAAAGGCAAAATAGCCCCTTAAAGAAGTGCAAGTATTGTAATGAAAATAAACTAAGAAAAGGACGAATGAAGGTTGCACTCGTGTTGTGTTATTACCGGAGCCCAAATCAGAAGTGGTGGAGATGGGGCCACGGCCACCACAAGAAGAGGCATTAATGGAGGCAGAAGCTGATGGAGACAACTCCGACGATGGACGGCCACCGCCTCCGGCTGCTGGAGCAGGATTTTGGCCTTTTGTTCCAAGAAAATCATGAAACGTTGCTGTCAGCTTCTGTTGGTTATCACCAGTAGCAGTAACAGTAGCATTTGCATAGTCATTATTACTGTTACTATGAGCGTGAGCCATATATAATTATTATACAACGTTATATATATTTATTTATGCAGAAATTGAACACCATTTTCACCATAACTAAAGCTTCACAAAAACCTCAAAACAAGAATCTTAACCCAAAAAAATTAAAAATAACCAAAGCAAAAGTTCCTATCAAGAATCCCAAAAACCTGAAAAACAGAAATCAAGCATGAATCTTTGAAATTGAAGCTCAAGAGTGTGTGATTATGTGTGAGAGAGAGAGAAAAAAAGGGTGCACGATTTTTCAGAAAACCAAAACATAAAATCAGAAATCAATTAGAGAGAGAAAGAGAGCATTAAAAAGTAAAAGTTATTTCTGGCTTTTTCTCTTACAGACTTTCACTTGCACGCAAACAGATACAAATGTGCTTTTTTTCCTTTCTTTTCTTAATTTACTGTTTATGCTTTTTCACTTTCTCTTGAGTGGGTGCTGTTGTGTTCCAAGAAATTATTTATATAATAGGAGGAATAGCGGTTAGTTTCACGAAATTGAATCCAAACAATTAATTTAATGTTTGTTGGGTCTGGCCTAAGCGCACATACATATGGAGGATGTTTGTGTGTGAGAGAGACTGTGTGTGAGAGAAATAATAACGAGAGACTTTCGGGAGAATTAATAATTGTTTGTTTATGATTTTATACATGTATTGTGAAAGTTTTTTATAAATTGCTTTTTGACCCCCAATGTTTTGAAGTTTTTGCATTTTTACATTTGATTGAAATTATAGGATGGGTATACCACTAAATGACCACTACAATATGTCATTTTTACTAAATCCCTATTTGATTTAGTTAAAAAAAATTAAATTTGATTAAATTTAATAATTTATGTGATTCAATAATTGATAAAAGTTGTAGATCCTATTAAATCCCTATTTGATGGGAATGAAAATCGAAACTTTAGTAGATTTTGATAAAAGTTAATAAATTGCGTGATTGAAAAGTTGTGATGTGTGATTAAATTAATTATTGACTTTGACTTGAATTAAAATTTTAATTCCTACCAAAAGGGAGCTAAATGTGTTGTTAAAAATGAATTTGTGAAAAAAAAATTAAATTTTAGAAAATAGAGGTTAAATATGACCTAAATGGTAACTTTCACCGACATTATAAAAACAACTTTTAAATGAGACTATGGAAAATATCCCTAGATGTTGAATGGACACACTTGAAGCCTTCATCTTTTTATTGATGTCATATTCGACATGACACGTTTAAAAAAATTTCAAAATCTAAATCCTATTGTCTCTCTATTCCTATTTTCTTTTAACCCAAAGTTATACTCAACTTTATATTGTTTGAAATAGTTTAAATTGTCTAGCTCATTCTCAAATTTTCAACAAAACATGCATCTCATGTCAACGTGGGCACAATGTCAAGTCTTTCGATAACTCTCGAATTGTTAGGAAAATCTTAGTCTCATGTGAACGTGTATATGGCATGAACGTGTATAAGAAGTCAAGTTTTTTAAAGCAGGTTATCTATCCGTGACAATAACAACTCTCAATTCACTCCCAAGTTGTCTAACAAACGTTTGTCTTAACAAAAAAACAAAAATACAAAAAAATAGTTAAAATTGACATTTAGCATGTAAAAGTAGTCATGTCTCTAATTTCCCCCCAAAAGTGGCCATTTTTCTTGTTTCTTTCACCTGAAAATGGGTCCAACACACAAAAACCTCATTTATAGAATGTGCTTTTGATCTTGGTGAAAGATGCACATAAAACTATTTTTTTATCTATTTGTTTGCATTCATATAACTTTCGGTACTGTAAAGTTTTTAAATGCACTTTAAAATAGTATTATCGCTACTTTTTGTGCGATGGTTTAACTCAAACAAGTGAAAAAATGTGCATGGAAGTAACGATAAGGCTAAATTACACTACAAATGTGAAATAAAAACGATTATGGCATCAACTAATGCCAAAAGACCACAATATCTCAAATTAGAACAAAATTAAATTTTATAAATATAATAAGCATAGAGAAAAAAGTAACCTTCAGAGGCAAATATAAAATACGGTTTATAAAGACTATAAAATGGCACAAAGCTAGAAAAACTATACATAAAAAAGATTTGGGGTAAAGATAGACATAGGTGTAAAATGGTGGGGCTAAAAGGCAAATACTTCGAATGAGCTTGATAAAGAAGGGGACATATGAGTGGAGGATTTTCGTTGGTATGTGGAGAGGTGAGTGGGATGTAAGCGTGGATTCTCCATCTCTATATATATAAAATAATTGTGACAAAATTCTCTCAAGACTCTCACACTTTCGTAAGTATAACAGACACATCCTCAATGTTTTGACATTGTATGCGCACTTGCCGCTTGCACAATATCCTTGACCAAAGCATATGTATGGACACTAAATGGTCACACGAGACCTACATGCATATGACTGAAAGGGTAAAATTGTTCAAGAACAAGCAACGTTTAGCCCATGTTTTGTTCTCATTCTTCAAAATTCATTTTCAACCATATATTTCAAGAGATTCGTAACTTTACCAACATTTCAATCTCGCATTTCATTAGTCTTTATCAAAATCTACTAAAATTTTGATTTTTAGTTAAATCAAACATGTGCTTGATATAACTTAAATTGTCAAAAATAAATGAAATATTTTTGGACAATTTTATCCTTTTAGTCACATATAAACATGAACACTTGACGTCGAAATAAATATTTTTCATCAAGTGAGAGTATGGTTCACAAATTTTCAAATGTTGAGGTCTTAAAGTGCCACAAATGAAAGGTTAGAACCCAAAAGAATTGTACCCTAAATTATAAAAAAATAAAATAAAATATTATGTCTCTGTATGAATTCGAGTGTTGATTATGAGTACATTTGTTGACTGCATCCACTCTCACTCTGCCCCATTTCTCAGCAGTCCCTTTCTTACATTGTCTTTGTTGTTATTTGAGAAAAGAAAATATTTAAAGAATCTCCCCACTTGTCTCTTAGATTTTTGATCTTAGCGATACTGCTTATAATTTAAAATTTTTAATTATGAGTAGATTTCATTTTCTATTTTAGTACTAACATTATGATTTCAAGTTTTATTACTATTCATCATCCTTAATTTTAGTCCTTATCTTTACAATTTCTTTCGGTTAATTCCATGATTCAAATGTCAACTTTTTATTTGAGTAAATATAAAATAAATTATTAAAAACTCTTGAGATAATAATAATTAAGATTCTTGATTCAAGCAGATAATGGGCCCCACAAAATAATTAAGTTATCACATCTCAATAATGAAATAACATAATTCATTGTCTCTATATAAGTGTTTGGCTAAGCTTATAAAGTTTACTTTGTGTCTGTTTGATAGGCCATTATTTTCCATGAAAAACGGAAAACAAATTCCAACTTTCACTTTTACCTTGTTTGATACGCTTTATTTTTTCATGAAAAAAATTTTCTTGGTTTGGCTCACATGCTCACATTTTCCAATTTTTTTTTATTTTAGAAATTAAAAAAAATTATAGACACAATTGTAAAAAAATTTATCACTTTTATTGACAATTTTCATGCAAAAAAAGTCAAACGAATGATATTCGGTATGGTAATTTTTTTTTAATTTAAAAAAAAATTGATAATTGGAACAAATTTTAGACTCAATGGTAGAAAAATTATCACTTTAATTGATAATTTTTATAAAAAATGAAGTCAAGCGGATATCAAACTTTCAACATTTTCTAAGGTGAAAAATTATATCAATCAAACACAATTACAATTCTCAATAAAATGATTTCTAAGCAATTCAATTCCCCGTAAAACATTTTTTTCCACCAATTTTTTACATTTGCAATCAAACGGACCCTTATATTTTTATATAGATAAGTTTTATTAATCAAGAAGTAAGTTATTATATCCTGATAATGATGTAAAAATTACTTTTCAAAACTCAAAGTACTTTAAGACCCCGTTTGTTTCGAATTAAAATCGGATTTTAATTTAAGTCAAAGTCAAATCATCAATATCAACCACGTCTTTCATAGGTCTCACAACTTTTCAACCAAACATTTCAAAAATTTATATCACAATCTACTAAAAATCTAATTTTAATCCCCACCAAACACCCTCTAATTTTACTACAAATTAAAATGTCTGGTTTTTGACTCAATTTAGCCATTGTTTGGTGATGATTAGAATAAGATTTTATTAGATTTTAATAAAATTTGATAAAATATGATTGAAAAATTGTGAGATCTATAAAATATGTGATTAAAATTAATTGTTGACTTTGACTTAGAATAAAATCTAGTGGAAATTACACCATCCCCTACTTTTGGAGATCCAAATTCTAAAATCAGATTTTAAGGTTTAAGTTTCAAAAATCAGATATTTTATATATAGATCCAGATTTTTTTATATTTAATTAAATACTAATAATAATATTATGAAACTTAAAATATATACACCTAAATTAATATTCAACCCTAATTGGCTAGCTAATTCACGTCTCTCACTCATCTCTCTCCAGTCTCTCTCACTTTCTCACTCTCACGACGACATGGAAAGGGGCTTCTCTCCATGCCGCCACCATACCCACAGATCGCATCGCCCACTGGCCCACCGGCACCATACCCACAAACTTCACGCACCATCGCCCGCCGGCGTCGACGGGTGACTCGGAGGAGCAGCCACAAATCGCACAGATGCAACGGTAAGATATGGTTTCCGGCTTCTGTGCGTGATATGTGTCGATGTGACGGAGCCGATGCAGTTTCGCCCATCCGTTGCTACAGATCCGGAGTCTTCCCTTGCAACCTAGCATATCCTGCAACTGACCAATTCAAAAAATAATTGAATTAACTAGCACCAACATTGACAGATCTGAAGTGGTAACTTGGAATTTGGGGATTTTTTGGTGGTTGTGGTGTAATTTGGGGATTTTTTATTGNGATGTTTTGTTATTTTTGAAATTGCCTAAAGTAAACTTCTCAAAACTGAATTTTTTCCTAAAATCTAAACTTTAATAAGT